TCTGCTTATAAAGAACTTTTGTATCATGTATCTCATTTTGCACAAAGGAGATCATGTACAATATGAAAAAAATGATAATATTTACAAAGATTGTACTTTTAAATTGTTATAAAACATTAATTGTTTACATTAACCATTAATAACTACATGGTTTTTTCAGGTTCAATGAATCCTTGCACCCGTCATTTTATGGCGACCATGAGTCTTCCTTGTGCTCACAAGATAAATGATTTGCAAGGAGGGCCACTTTCCTTGGATCTCATTCATTCACATTGGAAGATTGATACATTGCGTCTTAATTCAGAAGATAATTCACATAATGATGTCACCAATGAATTTGATGAGTAGCTTAGTTAGTTGTCTTCACGATACCAAATGTGGCCTCTAAGTAAGAAAGAATTTGCCGCTTTTATCATTACTAAACTTTTGACTGAATCCGATATATTGCTTGAGCCTGTGATTCGTCGACCAAATGGTAGACCTCCAAAACCAAAAAAGAAAAGAGGAATAAGTTCTACCGCACGAGACCCTTCAAGATTTGAGCTTGTGGAATCATCGCAAACACACAATCCTTCAATTTCTATTTCTATCTCCCAAATGAATAATGAAGTGTCTGAAAACAACTTATTTGATTTAAATGCATATCCGGCTTTTTCAAGTGATGATATGCAATAAGAATAGGATGAACGTTCTTTATCGTCAAATTTTTTTTAACATTGTTTTGATTTGAATATTTTTGTTGGATATCTTTCTTTTAACATTATTGTGATTTCAATGCTTCTTTCCTAGGTATGTAGTGCATGGGTTTAATTATTTAGTTTATGAACCAAGTCTGTCCAACAAAAAATGACAGGGAGTGAGTGATAACTATTGACACCAAAATCAAAGTTAAAAATTAATTTGATTTATTTAGATTTTACATAACACAGTAGGGTTTTAAAAACATAAATATTTGAAGTTTAGGTGACGATGAAAATTAGTATAGACTATTGACGTTATAAAGTGATAACTAAAGAAAAAAAATGATTTTTTTAAACAAAAAGAAATAAAAAATCAATTGACAAATTAAGAAAACAAAAAAAAGGAAATGAAAAAAAAGAAACAAACACCCGTTTTTTTCTCTTTATATGTTTGGTAATTAGAAACTATTTTTTTCTTATATTTTATTGATTTAAGGAAAGGGTATAAAAGGAAAACTACTTTTCTATCAAGTGGAAGAATAAAATGAACAAATGTATATATCAGCTCCCTTTAGTCATATTGAAATTCAATAACCACTTCTCTTTAAATACTTTTGTTATTCTTCCTTTCGTTTTTGTGCCAATTAAGTCATCCGACTCATCTCCTTATTGAGTCCATTAAATTAAAAAAAATAAAATCACCAGTCTTATTGTGTACGGAAAAAAGTTAACCTAGATAAAAGCATATATTAGAAAAAAAAAATTACATTACTTATACTGTTATATATGACCAACACGGCAACACCCTTATTTTATTTTATTTTTTTTACAAAAAACACAAGGCAAGTCGTGTGTACTATCAACTATGCCTCAAATATGATCCAAGAACCATAAAGACCAAAGGCAAAACCATAATTATCCATAATTTAGGCTCAAAAGTCTGTTGAAACTAAACTTTGCCATTGACATGAAACATGTTGAATGTAAATTATCCCTTGTTATAAATGTTAAATAAACTAACGAACTACTTGTTTTCAACACGAAACATTGAATACACATTTTCAAAATTTGAAGATATAATGGACTGTTATAATATATATTCCGTTTATCTAAAAAAGTACAGAATAAAATTAAAATTAACAGACAAGATAACATAAAAGTCAAAAATAACGTCTCCCTTCAAACGGCCATAATTTAGGGGCAATGTCACAATTAGATCGTCAAAAGTTGGTATCTACTTGGTATCCTCAAAATTACCTTTCTTTTTTCCTTTTATAAATTTCCCTCCATTACAAAAGAGTATAAATTATAATAGCAAATGGGAATATTTGAATCAAGAAACATACTTCGTTTCCCGCAAAGAATCTTTGATCCACAGCCGCCAAATTCCACCAATTAGAAACGAAAACCAAAACCAAATCCCAATTCATATTTACATTTTAAATATTTTATATTTTATATTATATTAAATCTTTGCAGATCAAATACGTCTCACCATACATGTAATCATGTATGTATGACGATATATTCTGCTAGAACATTAGTTATTTAGCATTTTAGCTTTATATGGTATATTATACATATATAATTTTCGATTGAAACAATGAAACCTCAATGACATACAATACACGATATCCACTCGGTAGATTATTTAAATCTGTCCAATTACTTAAGAAAAACATGACATGAAAAAGATCAAAGTTGGTAAAGATATAAATCATGATTGCATTCGAAATGTATATATTTTATATTGCTTAAAGATAAGTGTATATTATATGTATATATGTGTGTATGTGCATATATATGAAAGATACGTTTCAAGGATACGTTATACGTTAAACTATTACCAAAATGTAAAATCGATTTACCTCGATTCTGTTCCCATTTGTCATAATTTTCGTCCCACTCCATATACGAAGGATAATTTATTAACAAGATAAGAATGTTAATACATTTGAAGGAAATATGCATGGGAGAGAGAAAATTATCACTTAATTAACACCGAAATCTTTTTCTTTACTTGTAATTCAATTAATGATCAAAAATCTCCCGAATAATTCAATTAAAATATTTGATTTTCTCATAGTTATATAAACAAGACACGATGCCTTGTTACCATATCGTACGAAACTTCAAAAGGAGGAGCATCTTCATCAAGAAATGGCTCCAACTAATCTCTTCATCTACATGCTTTTAACTTTTCTACCTTCAACTTTCATTAAAACATGGGCACACCTCCCTCATCAACACCCTGACCCAGAAGCCATTGTTCTGCAACTCCAAAGGTATGCTCAGCAAGCTCCACTATAACCCATCTAAATGTAGGATTCAAGAAAACTCCCATCTGGGTTTTGCTTAATGCCATATTATATAATCTGGGTTTCTTTCTTTTTTATATATTTCACAAAAAAGTTTACTTTTTTATGTTTCTTGACCCTCGTACAGAAAACTAAACGCTTCAATAACCTCAAGAAGAAGAGTGCTCGATACAAACCCATTATTCACTCAATCAAAAGATCAAACTCTTTGCCAAACTGGCAACCCAGTCGACGACTGCTGGCGATGTGACCCAAACTGGGTCAACAATCGCCAACGTCTCGCCGACTGTGCTATCGGATTTGGTCAAGGAGCAATGGGGGGGAAAGGAGGCCGCTTTTACATTGTCACCGATTCTTCCGATAATGACCCTGAAAACCCACCTCTGGGGACACTCCGACATGCGGTCATACAGACCGAGCCTCTTTGGATCACATTTGCAAAAAACATGCACATAAATCTTCAAACCGAGCTCATTGTCAGCAGTTCGAAGACCATCGATGGACGTGGGGCCATTGTCCATGTGACCGGGAAAGGATGTATTGTGATTGAGAATGTTGGGAATATTATCATTCATGGGATTTATGTTCATGACTGTGAGCCCTCCGGGAATGCCAAGATACGGGTGAGTCCATCGGATGTTGTGGGCCGTGGGAAATCGGACGGTGATGGATTGACGATCAAGGGGGTGAGGAATTTGTGGATTGACCATTGTTCTTTTGCCAGGTGTACAGACGGACTGGTTGATGTCACGGAGGGGTCCACCGCCGTGACGATAACAAACTGCTATTTTACGGAGCATGATAAGGTCATGTTGTTAGGTCATTCCGATGATTATCTCGCTGATGCGGGTATGCAAGTAAGTTGTTATCGTAGTTATCATATTTTACATTCTATAAACATATAACAAGACTTATATATATAGTAACTGCATGAATAGGTGACAGTTGCATTCAATCATTTTGGAGAACGGCTAGTGGAGAGAATGCCAAGATGCCGACATGGGTATTTCCATGTTGTGAACAACGATTATACTGAATGGAAATTGTATGCCATCGGTGGGAGTGCTGCTCCCACCATTAACAGCCAGGGCAACCGCTTCGTTGCCATGGCTGATGATCGCAGAGAGGTACATAATTGCTTTGCATACTATTTAGTACAATATACAACGGACCGGGCTGTTTTGTTTTGTTTTTCAGACCTTGTTTGTGTGCAACTTTATTTAACAGGTGACAAAGCGAATGAATGCGAAAGATGACGAATGGAAGGGGTGGAATTGGAGGTCGGAAGGGGATTTGATGGTAAATGGTGCATTTTTTGTCCCTTCGGGTGCAGGGCTCGAGGTTCAGTATGCCAAGGCCTCGAGTGTTCCACCAATGTCGGCCTACCTAATAAACCAACTAACTAGGCATGCTGGTGTTCTTGTAGGCGCCCCGAGGTATATGTTTTGAATTTACGTGTCAAATTTATTTACTTTATTCTTTTCTTTTTCTTATTTGTTCTATTACTATTTGTTTTGCAGTAGTGTAGGTGGGATCACACCACATGACAGTGATCCTCCGGTGATCACTCCACCTGTTGTTGGTCAACCAAGTGGCGAGAACCCACCGGATTTACCTGGCACCATTCCGCCAGGAACCCTACCACCTTACGGTGCCGGCTTCTCTCCAGGAATCCTACCACCTTATGGTGCCGGTTGTGTTCCCGGCAACATACAAGGTGGTAGTGGTGGTGGTGATCCTAGTATAAACCCAGGAGCTGGGTATGGGTTTATACCAGGATCACCACCATCACCACTTAGTGTGCTACAAGGTAGTGGTCCCGGGATGATACCTTTTTGTGGTGGTCCCGGCAGCAGAAGGATTTCAGGTGGAGCACGCTCATCAATACCAACCACCATTTTTTTGTCTTCACTAGTTGTATTATCACTGTTCATGACAATGACTCCAGTGTATTGTTTTCACTAGTGAGTATTAAAGAATATGACAAATTATGTGTAGATAATTGAGATTTAACGGTATAACCATTGATAGGAATTTGTATTCACAAAAAAATATGACATGTGGTTCATTTGACCACAATAAGAGAAAGTTATAGAATTTGAAAACATCCCTATGATGATGTTAACATCATGACCACCTTTACTTATTATCAACCCAATAACTCTATTTCAACAAAAAATAGCAATTACTCTAAAAGGGCAAACATGGAAAGAAAAAAAAAATAGAGCAAACCGTTGTGCTCTGTCAGGCTGTAGGAGAAAATGACTCATACCTCTGCCCTTTTGGATGTTAGAAAGTAGCAAGAGCTCCAGGTGGGAGAAAGGGTAAAAACGGAAAAAAAAACGTAATTTAATTAACCATAACCATATCATCACCTCCACCTTCTGATGCAATTGCTTCAAGTTTCTTCCAAGTCAACTCACGTTGCTCAAGCATTTTATTGGCCATGGCTTCTTTTTCCAAGAACTGATTACTGCATTCTTCAAAAAGGTCTGAATCCATTTCAATGAACATTTTTCTTACATTTCCAGTTAATCCATTGATAGCAGTGTTCCAGTGACCTCTTATGTTCTTCTCTAAGGGTTCAAAGAGGATAGGTAAAATGATGTCTCGATTCTGTGCAATCAAGTCCACTATATGTTCATTGTTCCACAAGAAAAGCACCCGTTCTGCAACCTACAAGTCATCTTGAAATCAACAAACTTTTTTGGATACCAAGTATTTTAACAATATAAAAAGATTATGGGTAATAAGTAATAACAAACCTGAAAATTAGGGCTATTAATGCAGCGTCCAATTTGTCTAAAAAGAGGAATCATGCATTGTTGAAACTCTGCAGGTTGTGTTGCATCAAGAATTTCTTCTAATTCACCAAGAAACAGAATCTCTTTACCACAGTTAGTAACAGGCCAGTATTTCAGTAACCCTCTAATCACAATATCAGCCAATTTATAATCTTTTTCAACAAACTGAATTATACAGTAAGATAACTGTTGATGATAGTAATTAATAAATTTGGCTTTATGAAGTGGAATGAGTGCCCTCACAAGGAACAACTTATGCTCTTCTTTCATTGGAACAGCAAACCCATTTATTATACTTCCAAGAATCTCCAATAATTCACCAAGCCCAGGATGCCTTTCTGTTTCAAATATAAACCTATAAAAGATATTATTTATTGCCTTCCTTATAAAAGGGCGATGAATCATGAATTTTCCATATACACGATGGAGTATGGTCTTTAAATACTCTCTTTCCCTTGGATCTTCTGAATCAAACATATCAAGCAAGTTTAAAACAAATGAATGATCGATAAATCGTTTAGCTACTTTAGTATCTGTATCGGGTGACACCACGTATCTTAAAAGCAACTCATAGACAAGTTGCAGGTGAGGCCATGAAGGTTCTAAGTACATATCATCTTCTTCAGGGTCACCATCAATGGCTCCGGTGTTCTCAAATGCTTGAGGAGGTAAAGCACGAAAGATATTCACTGAAATCATGTTAATCATCTCCTCCTGCATGATCTCATTCATCTTACTTGAACCTGACTGGACTAACTCAACAAGTTCTTGTAGGTTTTGCCTTTTGATCTCTTTCTCTTTAACTTTCTTCAATGGATCAGAGAAATCAAAAGAAGCAGAACACATATTCACCTTTCTGATAAATAACACATGTCGTTCAGATATTGGTACGTCTTTCAACAAAGGTGTTACCTCGATCACACCAGTCTGAGGTGCAGGGTTTCGACTGATAGCCTGTGACTTGGTGTTGGTCAGCTGAGCAGGGGGTATGGCCGAACGTGAAGCATGGTTTACAGTCACATCAGATGGAGCATTAGGTCCTGGAGGTGGTTCAATCACTTCGGGTTTCGAACCCCTTTTCATCCCTTTAATGATCTTAAACATACTTACCGATTTCCCACAACCTAATCCGAAGAATCAAACTCTCTTTCAATCGTATTCCCTGTGTAAACTTCTACTTCATCACGGTTTATACATCTACACCCATATGTATATGTAATAATCTATACAGGCTCGTTGTAGCAATCGATCAACCAATTGAAACCCTTACACGATTTAGGGAAAGAAAAAGGAGTATAAGTTAAGGAATTATCCAGTTTGGAATAAGAATCAGTTAAAAGAAGAGAAACCGAATATCAAAAAGAGAAAGATTGTACCTTGTTGATTAGATTGAAGGAATAAGAGATCCGAAAAGAGAGAGATCCAGAAATAGAAAGCATCTGCAAAATTAGGTTTTTCAGTTGGATGTAAGGATAGAGGAAGGATTGATTAACACGAATTTATCGATTCAAAGTATGGAGATTATTAGGGATTGGGATGTAGCAAGGGAGAAAGAGAGGGGGAGACAACTATAATTATCTCCTTTTAACAGAAAATTGAACGAACATATTTTTTACTTATAAAAATAAATGAAATTCTCCCATGTAAAATAGATTTTCTTACTTTTCAAAAATCAATATTTAAAATTTTATGTTACTAATCATAATTAAATGGATGAGCTATTTTATAAAAACGAATTTTTAATTTTAAATAAGCAGAACATGTTATTTATTTATTTATTTTGAACAACATGTTATTTATTTATAACCTTTGTTATTTTATAAAAAAAAAACTAACCAAAATATATAGCTTCCAATATAATATGCACTTGTCAATCCTATTCCATCTCTCTTTTTTTAGTAGTTTGAATAAAATAAAGACACTTAATTAACGGATATGATTGTTTATTTATAAATGCTAACAACTCTTTATTACTAATTTAAAATAGTATTCTTTTTTTATTTTTATCAAATAATAAGGTATATTTTTGTAGCATAAGCTTTTAATTAAAGAAAACCCTTACATATTTTATACTATTATAAAAATATAAACATTGATTGATTCTCTGTTAATAAGTCAATCTTGACGATAATTCGAAATATTAATCCATGAAAATGATATTGTCATTCTACATATATTATGTCATCATTTTTTATGATTCTCAAAAATTCAATTTATGATTTTTTTTTAAGTTGTGAATAACTGCCGTGTGGTACTATACAGTTTAATATAAACTGGAATTTATTTATGATAAAAAGTATTTTATTCTTATATATCAATCTAATTAAATGAACGAAAAATTGCAGATCCTTCAATTTTCCTTAGCAATTTAACTTAATTTAATTTTTTTTTTTTTTTTTTTTTGCTATTTTATTGAATTTTGGAGAAGCTTAATTTATGTTTTTTTTTCCTACTCGCACTAGTAATAGTGCTACTCAAAATTAATTGATATTGGAATTAGAGATTTAATTGCGCAAAATGAAAGCTTGGAAAAGCTTTGTAAGTTTGTAACTTTTGTATGGCTGTTATACAATGGGCTGAAGCCCACTTTTAGGAAAATATAGCTTTTGGTGCAATGACAGAAATCTGCGAAGGAGGGGCCCTGTTCACCGTGCATCATTTAGAGCCGCATAAAAACATCGGTTTCGAACCGGACCTGAAAAAAGATAGAGACCGAACCGTTATAAAACGAGACCGGTCCGAAAAATCGGACCGTTTCGAAACCGGTCAAATAAAAACTGGACTGTTCCAAAACCGACACAAGATCGGTCCGAGACTAGTCTTAAAAAAGACCGGTAACTAAAGTTTATAAACATATCATTTTTGTGGTAATTACATAAATTTTAATCACACGTTATCTAATTTCTTCCCTTTTTTTCTTTTGCTAAACTCAAGTATATCATTTTTAATAAATCTTAATATATCATTTTGGTGTTAATCATAATTAAAAAACTCGAAACATAAATCCAAAAATCGAAAAAAAAACAGAAACCAAACCAAAAAAAACCTTGAAACCGAACCGAAAAGGACACAGAGAACGACCGCGAGACCAGGCAAAAAAAGACCGAGACCGGTCCCAAAAAATAGCGGGCCTAAAAAACTCGGCTCGAGACTTCAAACAGAAATAATACAGATGAGAACATAAAATTATGCATAATTAATCAACATTCTTTTAGGGTGTTTCAAATTAAACAACTTATGTTTTTTACTATATAAATGTTTATTAATTTAACCAATATCAAAAACAGAGTTTTATGAAAAATGTTTATATTAACTTACCCAATAGTAAAACACAATAAGCTGATAAATTGATTTTAGTGTAACAAATTTTGCTTATACGTGTAAAATAACCAAAAAAAAAAAAACATCTTACATATTATTAACTTTTTTTAGTTTCTTAAATATAATTTATCTCATTTTATAATTATATTATTAGTAGAAAATTAATATTAATACCATCGGAAAAAATAAGTTTTGCAAGTGAACATAATTAGAAAATAAATCTAGAGCGAAATTTATAAACTCATTATATGATTTGATGATTACAAATAGATATAATACGGGCTACGAGGCCAACACACCAAGAAACAAATAATCCATTACAATTTAACTAGTAATATTCGATTTTCAAAGCTTTCCGCTATATATTTGTAATTTCAACAATGCAATGCACTAACTTTGAAGAAAGTTTGCGTCGTAAATAATAAAGAAATAAAGGAGTTCGTCATATGTATAAACTAGTTTAGATTTAGTTTTCATGTCTTTTTGGTCCTTCTTAATCTGCTCTCTTTCTCCTTCTTGTCTGCTCTCCTTTTTCGTTTCTATCTGGTTCTTCCTTTCTCCTGCGAGTTCTTCAGGTTCTTTTTGGTTAGCGAAGGCAAGGCACCAAAGGGGTTAAGGTTTTAGGGTTTGCTAAGGTTGAATGAAATAAGGAAGAAAAGGTATCTGCACTCTAACTCAAAAGAATCCCATGCCCAAATTTTGGTTTTTGACACAAAGGCCCCTAAGTCTTATTAGTAGTTTTTCAATTTATAATATAGGGTTTTAATGTAATTTTTTATTAATAAAATGTTTATTTAAGTTTAAAATTATGTTTTTTTATTTAATCTAATTAAAAAAAAAACAAAAAAAAAACTAACAAGATAAATAAAGTGGATTGGTAACCATTTCCAAGGGATAGTGGTTTGGTAGTGAATATGTAGTGGAGATGACGTGACGCATAGGTGACAACACTTTTCTAGTGAGTTGGTGGTGACCATACCATTTACCCTTACCATTGAACTTGTTTGAAATGTTCATATTACATCTTTATTGTCGATTGGAATAGGTAACATAGTTTAGGTTTTGTTCACATTTAGTACCTTGAGTTTTTTGTCCACATATTACCATTGAACTTATTTGGATGGTTCACATTACATTCTTATGAATTTGTTTTGACTGTTCACATTACATCTTTAATTCCTTATGACATGAAAACTCCAGTCATCTTCTATGTTACCATTGAACCATATTTCTATTTAGCCCGTACGAAAGGTGTTCAGTTTGAGCCTGATACTACTGAATCTTTTATCTTTTTTAAACTATTCATAAATTTTTTTGTATGAAGTCGGAATGACATGATTTTTTTCAGACATAGTTTACTGTGTGTACTTCATTTTAGATATATAAACATCTTATTTGTTTACATATTTATTAAGCTACATGCTTTGATTCATAGGGTATAAAAGTTGAATTGTTTACTGTTTCAGAAGCATTATGAATTTATCTTCTTCTTTAAACTACCATAACTCGTTTGTTTGAAGTCGGAATGACATGCTTTTTTGTACAATATGTAGTTTACTATTAATACTTCATTTTAGACTATAGAAACACCTTATTTTGTTATATATTGATTGAGTTACAGGCCTCGAAACACAAGGTATCAAAGCTGAATTGTGCTTTATATCAACATCATGCACAATCGTCCCCTATTCTTTAAGTTGCCATAACTCCTTCGTTTGAAGTCAAAATGACATGATCTTTTTTTCAACATTTAGTTCATTGTTTGTACTTCATCTTAGTCTAACCGGTTCCTGGTTATCTTTGTTTCCAAACACCAACATTTGTTGTAAATATTCATCTAGTTTTCTCATCATAACTCAAATAAGATACATAATGATTCAATAAAGAAAAAATGCATATTGAAAAATTATTAATATTTTGATTCAAGTCACCATAACAAAAACATCTTCTCATGATTTTAGTTATATGACTTCATCACACAAAAATTTGACAACAAAGAACACCAAAGTGTTCAAACACACGATCATGATAATATTGTATTAACTCTTTTATGTTTAGAAAACATGGTGATTCTTTTATTTGTCCAAGCTTATCAACATTTTTTTGAAAATTTTCACAAATTATCTTAGTTACTTGAAAAAGAATTTGATCATTTATAATTTTTATTACTATGACGTGTGAGAAAGTCCAATTTTGAATGACTCTTTTTATGTTCTTAGAATCTTTAACAACGTCATCTCTATTACTTGTGAGAATCTTGTTTACTAAAGTTTGATTATCTAATTCAACTCTCATATTTGAAAGTTCTACTACTTTTGAGTAAGTCTCTAATAACATTTTGAAGATCAAGACATAAATAATCAAACATATTTTCCTTTACATTATCAAAGTAGTTCACATATTTTTAAACTTGATACATAGTGGAGGGATCCCAATTTGATGTTGAGTTGTTTTTAATATGTTGGACTGGATCATGTTCGAATGTGCTTGAGCGTAACTAATTCTTCACCTTTTTTTCATAAGACATATATCCTTCCTCTATACTTTCTGATGTATCAATTTCAACTTCCTAGTTTTCTTCTTTTGCAAATAACACCTTAAATCCCAAGTTTTTCCTTTTCAATGAAGTTGCCAGTCTTTTGCATTTAACTCCATATGATCTTCCTTTTGCCCGATCCTCTTTACCTTACAACTATCTGCGAAGTGCCTAGTTTCTCCATACTTAAAGCATGGGTGGAGGACGATGAATGGAGGCAAAAAACTAGATGTGGCAGTGATCGATCTTCGACTCAGCGATTGGGGGGGGGGGGGGATTCGGTGTCGACCATTGTAGGAGAGATGCACTAAATGCATGTGCAACGACATGTTTCTTAAGAACTGTAGAGAAAAAAAGTGTTTTTAAGAAAGGGTTAGGGTTACAAGATATCTTATGAAATCAGACTGATCAAGAGGTTTACGAGCGGGAACAACTAACCTTCACCATCACTGATTCTCTGTTTTATTCTAGCAACTCCTACCGTTGTTCGACGAGTTGGGAGCTGATTTAGTGAGATTACCATGATATGAGAGCTGATCTCTCGGATTGAAGTTGGAACCTCTTATTGTTTTCCAACTTTGTGCATGGGTGAATAAGAGTGAGGGCGGAATGGGTATTTAATGTAGGTATACCACCTATTATTACCTTGGTGCCCAAGGTATGAACTAAACAAAGAAGAAGAAAAGAACAAGAACGAGGAATTACTTGGTGAACTTTATTGCTGGAAAAAGTTAACTTAAACAACCTAAATATTAACCTTATTTGTACTAATAAAACTAGACTCCCACTCTAACACAAAAACTGCATAAGAGGAATGTTTCCTAAAATACCCCTAGAACTAGAATTGTCCCAGATTTCCTCTTGTGATAAACCGATTAATCCAACAATCACCCCTTAATCGGTTTTTCCATGCCTATCACTTACAACTGTGTTTCTCCGCCATTAACCATTGACGAACACCACCACATCCACATCATTTATTCACTGTCGACCTACCGGCTGCTTCACCTGCAAAACTCGTTGCAACCGTTGCTTTAAGCAACACCATGTTTAACATTTGAATACCGAGAGCCACCTGTTATCATCATCACCGAACCACACACAATCTTGTTGTACCTTGTTCCAACAACCCATTTTACCAAGGTAGCAACCATCACGATTCTCGACCTTTCCCGGACACTCGACCTCTACCTGGGTCACGTCCAAAGTCTCCATACCTTTTGATTGTTCACAACACACGTAACATGTACCATGTCATCCTGTTGGACACGTTCATTACCATCTCGACTTTTTCCGGATCGACGACCTCTTCTTTGGCAACATCCAAAGCCACCCGATTTGAACTTCCATCGCCATAATGTTCACAACGTGTTGTTTGTCCATTCCTTTCTTGTCTTGACAGCCATACCTTTGCTGATACATTATATTCTGAGAGATTCTTCATTCTTCCACCGAACACCCTCGGTTCAACCTTCTCGCATATGCCGTGTGCATCCATAATCAACTTCACTTTGACCGCCCACACCGGATAATTCGTTGGAGTCAAAACCAGAACTTGATACGTCATCGAACCTCCTTCTTTAACCATCGACATCATATTCTCTCTTTTGACAACCCCGGCCTCTTTAATCAAGCTTGTTCCGAGAGTACTATTCCACCGAACAACAAGACAAGTTCACAATTACCTTTACCGTCTTCCGTCACCCGCAAAACGAACCAAATCAAAGCCACCCGCTTTGACGTCTTCTCGTCCGTTGATTTCGTGCCTTCGATTAGTCTCTCTCTACCTTAGAACAAGTCCGATCAAGAAAAATCGGGGCTGCTGTTGAGATGCTTCAACTCGCGCTCAAAAACAATCCACACCCTATTAAACCGAACCCGGATCCTGCTGCGTTTGCCCCGCAGCGAAAAGCTACAGTTTTCTTGAAACTGACTCTCAAACCGGCCGCCCTACGCCTTCACGAGCCCTAGACTCTGATAAGTGTAGGCATACCACCTGATATTACCTTGGTGCCCAATGTATGAACTAAACAAAGAAGAAGAAAAAAACAAGAACGATGAATTACTTGGTGAACTTTATTGCTGAAAAAAATTAACTTAAACATCCTAAATATTAACCTTATTTATACTAATAAAACTAGACTCCTACTCTAACACAAAAACTACATAAAAGGAATGTTTCCTAAAATACCCCTACACCTAAAATTGTCCTAGATTTCTTCTTGTGATAAACCGATTAATCCAACATTTAATAGATTAAAGTTTGAATCCAACATTTAATAGATAAAAGTTTGAGTCGGAAAACAAAAGATGAGGTTAATATAAGGACATGTAAAACTATTTTTCATTATAGAGTATTGAGTATTGATATTGATAAATATACACAATTTGATTATAAAATTAGAACAAATTACACGAATGGTCCTTTAGGTTTTGTATTTTTCCCTAAAGTAGTCCCTACAAAACTTTTTTCCATCAGATGGTACCTACGGAGCAAACCTTGCACACAAATGATCCTTATAACTAATTCTGTTAACAGATTCTGCTAAGTGTGTGTGAAAAGACAAAAATGCCCTTTGTTTTTATTTTTTTTATTTATTTTGTTAATTTGAAATTAAAAAAAACGGGGTCCTCTCTCTCTCTCTCTCTCTCTCCCTCTCTCTCTCAAGAACTGCCACCAACATTTGTTGAATTTAAATATATTTTTTCCAAATCTGAAAGAACAAAATATTTCATTTTTTCTAAACTCAAACTCAAGAACAACTAGTTTATATTTTTCTGATCTGCAAACTAAAACTCAAGAACAACCATATTATCAAATTTTTAACAACAATACATTATTAGATCTGCAAACCACAGATCTGAAACTCATCCACATATAACTCAAGAACAACCACCACTTTTTGATGAATTAACATAACTTTTTAAAATCCAACGAACAAAACAATCCATTTTTCCAGATATGAAGAATATCACATCCCATTTAACAACAATACATTTATAGATTTGTAAATCCTTGCCTTCTTAAAAAAAATCATAAAAACAACAATGATATGAAAATTCGTATCCTTCTCGTAGACAAACACTGCCCAAATGCACAAAAAGATGAAGAAAACGAAAATCATTCAAACCTTAACTAAACCAGAACCTCTCTCTCTTTCTCTTTGGCAAGTTTCTCTTCCGAATCTCAAAAGACGAAGAAGGGAGGTCCGAGCTCCGACAACGAACAGATAGAAGACACACCAATCGATGAACATATCTGAAGTTGTTCAACATAACAGAAAATGTACCAATCTATATGCACATCAACGAAGACTTACAACCACTACCCGAAACCCTAATTTTGCCGCTAACGGAAACCCTAATCCTTCCGCCACTATATCAGTCGGTGGAAAAGAAGCTTGAACAGAAAAACGACGACGATGAGACACTGATGAAGTAGATCTGACAATGAAACACCAGATCCTTCGAGATCTGACCAAGACGAACCAAAAATAGTTCGAAGGAAAATGAACCAACGAACCCTAACACGATCAATTCGAGTCCGATGAAGCAGATCTATGACAGTTTGGGAACGACGGCGATGGTCTCCGACGAAAATGGTGTCCGACGAAATGGGCTTCTTCGGCGATTTTTTTTTCTTTTTTTTTGTCAACAATGGAGAGAGAGAGAGAGAGAGAGAGAGGGAGGGGGAGAGAGGACCCTACCTTTTTTTATTACAAATTAACAAAATATTAAAATAAGTATAAAAAAGTAAAAACAAATGGCATTTTTGTCTTTTCACACAGACTTAACAGAATCTGTTAACAGAGTTAGTCATAAGGATCATTTGTGTGCAAGGTTTGTTCCGTAAGTACCATCTGAGGGAAAAAGTTTCGTAGGGACTACTTTAGGGAAAAATACAAAACCTAAAGGACCATTCGTGTAATTTGTTCATAAAATTATAAGAAATGTGCATTGAAGTATTTATTGAGAAAACAAACAATTTGCTTAGCGTGATTGATCATAAATGTTCTTTTTCCTCGAATGGTTTAAAATAACATTCTTTAATGGTGTATAACTACACATGTGTATCACTACGTATACAAAGTTACATACATGTCAAACATGATCATTTTCCTAGAGTTCCACCTTCTCCGGCCACCGCCATCTCCGTCTCCGCCCTCGCAGCCTCCTCTCTGAACTTCTTATAAATATCACTGGCATAAAATTTTCTAGTCCTAGCCACCAAAATAAGCGAAATTAATGCACCAAACACAGTAGCCCCAGTTACGATCAGAAACGCCGTCTTAAAACACCCAACCCCAACACAAGTTAGATCCTCACCCTGCTTTCTGATCAACCCCAAGGCTCTCATCTGCCTCTCCGCCTCCCTGTCATACAAGTTTCCGGCTACCTTCACGTTCAGCAAATACGACCCGATTGGGCTCGCCACTGATCCGAAATTGTACAATGTTGAGTAGTATTTCAGTCCAAAAATCTCTGATATGATCGCAAAAAGCAACGGCCACTGTGCTCCAAAGCAAAATCCAATTATCACTGACGCAAAATACAGTGAATTCGGGACTCCGAATGCGATTAGAAGGTGGCCAATACAAGATAAGACCAGGGTTAGTGTTAGCATCAAAGGTCGAGGGAAGTTGTACTTTTTTAGAAGGATTTCGGATGCAAATCCGGCAACTACTCTACCGAGGTAATTCCATATGCTTACGAGTGAAACGAAGGTGCTAATGCTTCGAGTTGGGTAGTGGAGAGATTCCCCGATTTGTCCTAAGTTGTCGATGGCGGTTAAAGTGCCACCAACGCCACAAATCGTCGCTAAAAATAGGATCAACATGTCAATGGAGAAGAGTGCTTGGAGAATCGTGTAGTCCTCTCCTCTGTCAGGTGGTCGGAATACATTCTGGAAGCATGTTGTTTCTTCTTTTTGCTTCTGAGGTGGCGGCGGCGGTGGTGGTAGTACGATGGTGGTAGATGGTGGAATATGATCTGTAACGACTTTTATTGGAGACGGATCATTTAACGATGCTCTCTTGTTTTTCCAGGTCTTATATTCTTCTCTTACAACAACCGCCAGTGGCAGAAAGAGGAGGAAAACAACTACGGTGGCGCTACCATAATAATCTGACCGAGGAAATTGGACGCGGTTTTCCACTATAATGATTATCATTAAAAATCCGGCGAGGCCAAGAGATATATATAGAAGATCGTAGAAAACTTTGATCTCGTCCGATTGTCGAACCACCTTCATGATTCGGATTGTACGTACAAATACAACAGAAATAACAGCCGGGAGCCATGCTATGAGCAAAATGAGAGATCTTTTGTCATCACCATAGATAGCATCGTAAATTTGAGTGATAATGGCTCCACTGAGGCCGACGTATCCCTTGAGAAGCCCAAGCACCACCCCTCGGCTCTCTGGGAAGTTTTTTACACATGTTACTAATGCTCCGGTATTGGCAAACGATTGTGAATTCGCACCTACATGAAAAATATCAAGTTAATATCGATTTATATATCAATAATAATACAAAAAAAAAAAAAGACTTTTTTGTGATTTGAATCATAATTAAGAAACTAAATCTCACCTATACAAATATACAAACACATTTGCCAAACAGTTGGTTTGGAAATTCTTTGGGTGACACCTAACCAAATCATGAAATACCCAAAAAAATTGAGTACTGATCCGACGGAGAGGACAAACCATGGCGGTGTAACCTCAGCAATAAGGCCGGCAAGTACGCCGACGTTGGCTCCAAGGTCTTTGAAAAAGGAGAGCAGGTTGAGGGTGCTTTGGTCGTATCCTAAGGATTGTTTGATCTCTTTGGAGTAGAGACCGAACATGTAGGTGGCGCCGGCGGCGGACATGATGAGGAAGGAGGCAAACACCATAAACCACCGGCCGTTTAGGATTTGGAGAGTGAAGCTGACCATTTCTGGCCGGCCGCCGATCTTGGCCGTCGCCATCTCTAGAGACTACTTAGGTAAGATTCTGTTGCTCTAGTTGTGGTGTATTTGTGAGCTCGAAAACAAAACGTGGGGACATTATATAGAAAATGGCAGACTGGAGAGAGTTGACTATAAAGATTTCTAAATGAGGTAATTATCATCTGAAAATTTGAAAATAGACCTGTATTTAAGGGATTTTTTTTATCTTTGAACAGGGTTGATATTTAAATTATAGATATTTTCAAATTTTAATATATTAGTTTAGTCGACTAATGCTAATTTATAAAAGATTAAATTTCAGAAATGGTCCTTATTGTTTGTCAAATATTGCAATTTTAGTCGGTTTTTAATTTAGGGAAAATGACACAAATGCCCTATTAAATTTCTAGGGTTTACTCTTTTAGTCCCTAAACTATTTTCGTGGCTTTATGAGGGAACGAAGTTGTTTTTGTCGGGTCGATTACGTCCTTTTGGCCAAAGTGAAGGGGTCATCCGGTTACCCCTTTGACAAATTAACATTTTGTTGACCAATTTCCACATATTGACTTTGAATTTTCCCAATTTTGACCAAACTTTGCCACATCACAAATTCTGCTCCGATTGTGTTCATTAACCACGACAAGCTCCAAAAAAAAATCTCGACTCTCCTTCGACTTTGTTTGTTATACAAACCTTACAGTTTCGTTGACTTCGATTCCTACACAATCAACCATATAATCACTATTTATTTATATCGTGAAAGCATGTTTGAAATCGGCGATTGTTTCATAAACGAAGCTCACGAAGAAACCATCGTCAACAAAATCTTAAATCCAGTCGCATGACCTAACTCCCGCTTTGAAGTGGGTCATAGTTAAGCACGACAAGCTCCAAAGAGTGTTCTTGGCGAACACCCATAAGCAATCATGAACAAGAAAGATCTTCAAGTATGGAATAATGCAGTTTTCGAAAATGGCGCTGATTCTGAGAGCTTGAATTCGAACAATCTCATCAAATCGCCATCGTGGCTCGTGAAGAAACCAGTAACCATAAACCGATCTTCTGATTCTTTCGACTCTATCCATTCTTCGTTTTCCAGTAAAGAAAACCAAATCCCAATTGGGTCCTCGAAACCCTCTGGTTTTGTTCTTCACCCCCTTCACCAATCGAAACCCTTGCAGAATCTTCCAATTGGGTTATCAAAATCAGGTGTTCTTGAGAATTCGGAGGAGAAAACCAATGGGGAGATTGAAATCGAGAATGAAATCAGTAGGTAGTTTGCAAGATTGGAAGTAATTAGACTCGAAAAACAAGGGAAAATAATCGATGCTAAGGTTGTCGAGTCTTTCAAGAACAAGGATTCCAGAGTTGAAAAGATTGAAGAATGGACCCGACATCAAATTAAAGCTTCATCGTTTACAATTCATGGAAATTCTTTAAAATGGCAATCGAGATGAAGCTATAACATACGGAAGAACTCATTTCACTACTTTCGCAGCCCAACACCTTCCTGAAATCCAAAAGCTTATGTTGTGTCTTCGATGGGCCGGAAATATTGACTCGTCACTGTAACTTAGTGGGCGAAACTCGCCGGAGAACTTGCTCATCAATTATGTAATATCTTAGGTAAATCGTATGAAGCCCTATGAGAGTGACGGTTGCTGCGTTCAAGGGTTGCCGACTTTATAAAAACCGATGAATGTGATGACGGGGAGTGGGTGATGGTGAAGAAAGTAGGTGTATGTGTGTTTATGTGTTCCTTTCTACACAGACTTTATTATCTCAATTTTGACTAGAAAATGAAATTATGAACTTTGATATACACATCATCTTAAATTGCTAATGTGGCATATAAAACCGATTATTCTAAGTTATAGGGACTAAAAAGACAGGTTGTCCACGAGTTGGTTCCCTCATAAAACCACGAAAATAGTTTAGGGACTAAAAGAGTAAACCCTAGAAACTTAATAGGGCATATATGTTGTAACATCCCGTTTAAAATAGAATAATTAAAAAATAAACCCGGAACCCTGCGAAGTAATTATTATTATTATTTTAGATTATTATAGCCCAAAATCAAATAATAAGTAGCGAGGTGTTGGTTTCGAGGAGTTAACTAGCATAATTTAGAAGTTGGGAGTCAAAATGTAATTTCCGGATTAGTTTGTAAAGAATTTTGAAGGTTGAGGGTTGTTTAGTAAATTATGGGCTTATTATGAGAAGATTTTTGGAAACTGGGGGCTGAATGGTAAAATATTGGATCAAAGTTGAAAGGATTTTATGGAGTCATGGGCTAAATGGTAATTTTGGGACTTAATATGAAAGGAAAAGGAGAAGGAGGGACCGGTTTTGTCAATATGGATCATAATTTGAATGGAGCGGGTATATAACTGTTCCATTGCCTCTAAACCCTAACCCTAATGCAACTCCAACCGTCACCTCCCTTTACCCTTAACCTCCAGCCGCCACTCCCATTGCTGCTATGTCCGGCCGCCGCCTCCTTGCCAACCGGTGTCGCCGATCGAAGCCAACAACCGGTTCAGCCACGACAGCGACGAAGAGTCTCAACTGACGTCAGTTTAGTGGGTCTCTGGACCATATAGCGCCGCTACTGTCAATTTGTACTCCGGTGGAGGCGCAACCTCCATTCCTCGCTGCAACAGCCTTCTACTAAGACTTCTGCCGCCGCTGTTGAAGCCATAATACCACCAAGAATCCGTCGTGTCATCTCACCGCCGATGAAGACGAAGATGCCGCCAATGACGAGTTGTTACCACTGACCGATGCTGCTGCCGCCAAGCTCAGCACTGCCACCACCGTACGCCCCTAGATGGGTGGTGGTGTTATTGTTTCGGGCACGTGTGTGCGTCTTTGGGCGTATTTCAGTCAAGGTTGTGTGGTTATTTGGCCGAAAATCGCAAGAGAGCCACCACCACCACCATGAGGTGGTGGCTGCCACTCTCTACCGCCGCCTGCCGCCACAAGGTGGTCGTGTATTTATTGGGTGTTTATTTTTTGGATATTGTGTGTATTATTGTAATTTGTAACTGAAATAATCAAGAAAACTCATAATCACCACCGTCAGGTGGTGGCTGCCGCCACCAGCCTCCGTGTTGGGTGGCAGTGTGCTTGTTTGTGTTTGGATTCGTTTGGGATGCTTGGAAATTTTCTTGGCAAAAATTATAACCACCACCACGAGGTGGTGGCCGCCGCCGTGAGCCGCCATTGACCACCACTACCCGAGGTGGTAGTGGGTGGTGCCTTACTTGTTTAACCCTAATGGGCCCAATGAAGCCCAAATTGACCAAAAAGCCCAACCATGTGACTAATGGGATAGTATTGGGTTGGAAACCCTAATAGGGTTTGGAAAACCCTAATTTCATGAAACCCTAATTTTGGGGATTTATTGGGACCCGCACTTGAATTAATTACTAAACTGAAAATGTTAATTAATAATAATTTGGAAATTAACCTAAGGCAATATTGGACTTAATGGATTAAGTCCTTAATGGGTTAAGTAGGAAAACTTAACCCTAATCGTCATTTCATGTGAAAACCCTAATTTCACTTGGGACTTGAGTTGGGCCTTCCTATTGGGCTTTGGTGATTGGACTATTGATGGGCTATCCAAGAACAAGTAAATGGACCAAAATAATTGGATGAGCTTTAGGATAAGGCCCATGTGAAGGACTTGGGCCCAATTTGGAAAAATGGTCCATAGGTGGGCCATAACTGGGCCTTGATGATTATGTGATATTGGGCCATGGGAATACCAAGAGCTTGGAGTAGGATAAATGGATTAGCCTTAAGGAAAGACCATGTAGAGGTATGGGCCCAATTGGGCCATATGTTGGGCTTTGGTCCATTACTTGACTTTTGGGCCTTGGAGTGTGAGTTGGGCCTTGGGCTTGAATCAAGCTAGGTTGGGGGTAAATTAGCCTTTTACCCCAAGCATGGACTTATGGTTATGTATTGGAACCCAATTATTAATTGGGTGTTATTTTGATGATTGACAGCTCGGGAATCTGTCAACCAGCAGCTGGAGTTTATCCGCGGGACTTCAGCAGTGTGAGGTGAGTTATCCTCACTATACTAAGGGGTCGAAGGCACCAATGCCGACCCATTGGATCTGATATCCTAGTAGTTGGTGTTATGTTGAGTATGAATTAGTTATGCATGCTAGTTGCTATGCCAGTTGGTAGATCTGTAGGACTACCTGTGTTACTATCTGATTATTTGTATGTGCATTAGTTATGTTATATGTCGAAATGTTATGTGAGAGGGGTTGAGGTTGTACTGCTCCGTACGGTAGCCAACAAACCCTAGAGTATTCAAGATATGAGCTGAGGGCCGGGCGGGGCATGTCAGACTCATACTGAAGACTCAGGAGCATTCCAGATACGAGTTGAGGGTCGGGTAGGGCAAGCCAGACTCGTACTGTGGGCTCAGGAGCATTCCAGATACGAGATGAGGGTCAGTCAGGGCATACTAGACTCATAATTTGGGCTCAGTGGCAAGCCAGATGTGAGCTGTGGGCCCGGAAGGCAAGCCAGACTCACACTGTGGGCCCAGGGGTAATCCAGTCTGTAAAGCTATGGACCCATTACATGCTGTTATTTGTATATGTGCTATTTTTTGTGTATCGGTATTTTGGGGGAACTCACTAAGCTTTGGGCTTACAGTTTCAGTTTTGGTTTCAGGTACCTCAGATGATCGCGGGAAGGCAAAGGCGTAATCGTACAACTCCTCACATTTTATGACTATGTTTCTGGGATACTCTGATATAGAATTGTTTTGAAAACAAATTTGTAATAACTATTGGTTTCTAAATGTTTTTAAAAGTTTAAATTTGGCCTGATTTTTATGGATGTTACAAGTTGGTATCAGAGCCTTGATTTGAGTGAATTGGAGGAACACTCGTGTGAATCCAGTCTCAAATCAAGGAAAGGATTTTCAAAATGATTTTTAAATGATTTTCAAAATACTAAAGGAGGATGCAGGGTGTACGATCATCCGGAGCCAGTAAGTAGACTCCAAAATACCATACGATTATGTGATATAGTGATATGTTAGAACAACATGCTAGTACTAGGCTATGGATCTTTAGGAATTGCATGATAGAATTTCCTGATTGTATGATGCCTGATAGCCTAGAGTTTTTCCTTATATGAAATTGACATCATTACTGTAGTTGTTTAGTCTATGCATCACAGTTGTACATAATTAAGATCTTATAGCCTGAGAATGTTTGGTTTGGCCTTATTTCCTGTTCTTGTTTGATGAAGGGCTTAGGGTAGGATCAGGTATTCGAAAGTCTATAGGGTCCAGCGTTATGTATGGCTAGCATACACGAGTGTTGCAGGGTTGGTGGAAGTTTCATGGGTGGGTTGTGCGAGGCCGGTAGGCCAGTTATGGGATATTTAGCATTCCTCTAGGAGTGAGGATTGAGCGCTCGCCATATTATGTATACAGTTAGGGCGTTGTGATGATACTTGAGACAAATATGGTAGGTGTGGAAGGTAGTATGGGCCCGTACTACTGAAAGCACAGGACCCATACGCGTAGCAAGAAAGTCACAATCCCTAGGGTTTAGTTGGGAGTTGGTTCCCTGTTATTATATGTATTATCCGAGATATCTCTGGGGTATTATTAGAATGGTGGTTATGAGACGTTTTGAGACCGGATCCGGATCAGGACCGAGAGCTGGCAGCCAGGATAGGCCAGTATTGTCAGAGGATCGTGTCAGTGAGATCATCCGGGAGGAGGTGATCGAGATTGTTTGGGGACAGTTGCCAGAGATGTTTAGGTCTATTAAGACCGCCATGGTTGAGTATTTCAATGAGCGTTATGCAGCCCTTGCTGAGACGGCTGCCGCAACAGCTACAACAACTGTAACAACAGCAGGGGGAAGAGCTGGTCGAGCTTTCCAGTACCGGGACTTGTTACTGGGACATATTCTGATGAGTAAAGGGCTGCAGTTGCTTGGGATCAGGGAGATGTTCCGTACTCGTTACATTCCGCGGGTTGAGCGGGAGAGGCTGGCATAGGAGTTTCAGGATTTGAAGCTTCGGGGGTCTTGCTCGAGGCCGGGATGCGAGTCGCGGGGACTCCGGAAGGGAGTGATGATTATGTTCAGCCAGAGTTTTGCAGCTGGAAGTAGAATGGTTAATTGATGGATTGGAATATCGGTTCTTAGGGCTAGTGTTGTGCCCATTCAGTTTTTCGAGCTCGAAGGAGTGAGCAGTCTTGTAACCCCAGGATCAGGTTGTATTCCCGC